CTCATAATGCCTGGCAAGAAATCGTTCCAGATCTTTGTTATGGGTTTTAGATCGTCGCGTTAGCGATGAAACGGTATGGTCTGTTTGCGTCACGCTCTGTTATTCGCGGCTTTTCAGCCATTTTTCTTGCTTTAATAAAAACGGAAATTTAATAAAAACCGAAGGTTGTTGTTTGACAAATATTAAACTATGTACGTGCGTAGTTGAAACAGTCAAGTTTGTCTGCTCAAATCACTCAGAGCATGTCTGATGTCAGAAATGAAGTATATGAAGTTTAAATATTCTTTTAGTTAGCTAGTCCAAAGTTTCTTTTATCGTCAGGTCTCTTCAGTGTTTCTTGACGGTTTTCTAAAAAATTTTTAAGCAGACAGGCTTAACTACACACGACTCAGAGCGTGTGTGATACTACAGCGCGCCTGAAGTTAAATATTCTTTTACACTAGTCCACAGTTTCTTTTATCGTCAGGTCTCTTCAGTGTCTCTTGACAGTTTTTTAAAAAATTTTTAAGCAGCAGACTTAACTGTCTCAACTACACACACGACTTAGAGCGTGTGTGATACTACAGCGCGCATGAAGTTTAAATATTCTTTTACGCTAGTCCAAAGTTTCTTTTATCGTCAGATCTCTTCAGTGTCTCTTGACAGTTTTTTAAAAAATTTTTAAGCAGACAGACTTAACTGTCTCAACTACACACACGACTCAGAGCGTGTGTGATACTACAGTGCGCATAAAGTTTAAATATTCTTTTATGTTAGTCCAAAGTTTCTTTTATCGTTAGGTCTCTTCAGTGTCTCTTGACAGTTTAAAAAAAATTTTTAAACAGACCGCCAAATTTTGTAAAGTACGGCTCGCTCTGTATCGACTGCTTTCTTTGGACCTTGCACGGTTTAAACGTAGAGTGCGCTATGATGTTCGCTCTGCCCTAGTCGGTAATTCAGGTTAAATGTCGTAAAAATTCCCTAGATCTTTGACGACGTTGAAAGATGTCACTGCACGACGCGCTAGTCGTAAACGCGGTGCGATAATATGAACGTTACCGCCGGCTATGAAACTTTGTACGAATACTCAGCACTTATTTTGAGAAATAACAAACAGCCTTTGCATTCGCCGTGTCGTAATGTTATACGGGCCACTAATGTACTTTATTGGCAGAGAAAAAAGTGTTTCTCCCCATTGTTGACAGGAACTCGGGAGAGTAAAGTTTTAAATCAAGGCAACAACGTTTAAATTTCTTTAAATCCAAGTACGGAAATCTTACGCTCACGATTTCGTTTGAAAACATTTCGTGCTTTCAAGTGGATCGACAAAAATTTTGGAGGAACTTCTTTTGTAAGAAACATCTTCGTACGGCTGATTGGATGGGAACAGTCGTCACATTTTGACAAATGTACCGAATGATGCTACGGTATTGGCGCTAATAAGAGCGATCCAGCTTGAGAACTGTGACAAATGCCTTGCACAACTGCCACCAGAAGTTTCTCCCATAAAAACTGTTGTTTCACATGTTGCCTTTAAGGGCAGTTGGAAAGAATAGCGTAAGAAATCGATGGGAAGACAAATCGATACGGAAATACCGAATAAACAGAATGGCGAGGAACGAAGCGGTAAAAGCTTCTATTATTAGCTTGAAAACTGGGTTATCCGACATAAACATCTGGAAATTAAAAGTTTCAGAAATTTTGAAAGAAACTCGTACATTTGAGTATTCGGAACTATCGATAGTTTTCGAATTATTTTCAGTTGTTTTTCATTTTCAGTAATTCAGTGTAGCAAAAGTTGGAAAATTTTAAAAATTTCGTACAGTAAATAGGATGTATCTCTCTCTCTCTCTTTCGTGTTTTCCGGTTGTATCGTAACTCTAACTAGAAGGCAAGGACAATCGTGTAGACTTTGCCAATTAAAAGACAGTTTCGATAGGAAGCTGCATTCGCAACTTGATGGAACTTCGCCGCTCGATTGCACAACCATCCAACGGAACCATCTGCTTCTCGTAAATTTTCAACAAGATTATTTAATGGAACCTAAACTTCCGCAAAGGGGAAGTCTTCCTTTCATGTTCCCCCCATCAAACGCGCCGTCGCTGTAAAATAGATCACGGCAGGCTTCTAATTAAACATTTGTTGCGTGCGGTCGCGCGTCACAACGATACTAATGGTCCAATAAAAAGGGATTTATGAAAATTGCTATTATCTTTTGCGCCTCGTGCAAAAACTATAACGAACGCTATGCGTTCAAAAGCGTGAGTTACCGTAAAGTTCATCGGAAAATACAGGCTCCGTGGTTTCAAAGTGGTTTCACCTGTCTCGTTTTGCACAATTTCGCGTTTCACTTTCCGAATGTGCTGTCATTGGTATAGAATTACAGGTACAATATACAGTTTTAAATATTTATAGTTAGTGATTTTCTTTTAAATGGCAAACAGTTGATCAGGAGTCCATAACTCTTGTAAATGTTATTTCTTACGAAATACAAAAATTCCACGGACCAAGAAAAAACGAAGTTGGCTCAAATTCTCGCGAAATTACACGGCGATAATGTGACTCGCTTGTCTTCTGCCTCGAAACGAGCGTCTGCAACCGCGTCTATATGCAACCGCGTCCAGATCAACCCATTTTCAGCCAAGTGTGCGCCATCGAGCCCGAAATCTCCAGAATTTAGTACGGTCAACTTTGTTACGCTCGCTTCTGAAATGGACGTTTGGGCAAACTCACCGGCAGTATGCAGAGGATGATGATAAAACTTGACGGTGGCTGGTAGCGCGAGAGTGGCCGGGACGGATAGTTGCAAGCCTGGCCCCAGCAAATGTACCAACGTGCCAACGACCGTGACCACCCATCCCCAGCCACCTTCCGGGTAATAATGCCTCGACAGAAATCGCCTGGCTTGAACCTGAGGGCTGCCATTCCGCGGCTGACAATTCCTCCCCTCTCGCTGGCCCGTTGCTCTCTGCAACACCTTCCTCTCCAACACCTTCTCCGAACGATGATCGTTCTCGCTCGGTTCGAGTTTCGCGCGCGGGTCCAGAAGCGGCCAGGATCGTGCCCGCGATATCGACATCACGCGCACGCTTCTGTTCACCTTCGGGCAGACTACGTGCCCGTGTCGTGCACGCTCGCTCCTCTCGCTCCCCTCGCAACCCTTGCCGTGTGCATTCGCGCTGACTCGCGGCACCACCACCTGCCCGCTTTCGTCACGAGCATCCTGTCGGCCGTCTGGAAGGCAGCGTACGTCCTTGTCGCGCGTCTCTTGTCCTGGGGTGACGAGCGCGAGCTGGATGAGCCGCGAGACGAATTCCTTCGGATGCCTCGAAACCCTCGCACGGAAATCTCTCTGCACCGCTGCTGCCACCGCTACTTCCCTCTGCCGTTGATTTATCTGCGGGGATTTCGACTCTCTGAAACCGCTCCTTCGCTCAGCCTTTTTTTACGACCGACCGTCTCGAGTTCGGTCGAGTACGTTCGCGGGTTCTCTCGAGGTTTTCGCCTGTTGTGAAAAGCGGCCGAGGTGTACGTGTTTATCGCGCGCACGAGACGAGAAATTTCTATTCGCCGTGTACGTGTATTACGAAGCGTTGGTCTCTTCAAGTTATATGTCGGATATGGAGAAATTGCAAAAAAAAAAAAGAGTTTTATAGGAATCGATAAGGAATAACTTTGTCCGCGGAATAAACGTTGGCTTTTTATGGTACCGTCCGTTACCGGACGTTACGTGCCCATTGCATCATCGAGCGCGCCTTGAGAAATTGAAGAAGGATCGACTGGACAGGAATCGACAATCGTTGTATTTGAGAGTATTTTGTAGAGTATTACGATTGCTTGTACGAGTGAACGCGCTCCGCGATCGTCAATTCAGCGGGGCGTTCCATAATTAAATTGACCCACAGCTCCAGAACCAAATTCATTAGCATAAATCATAATAATGGTGGCTCGATTCGATCACGCAGCCGCGAATTTACTACCGGCCGAACGAACAAAACGATCGGCTCGGGCAATTTATGCAATACTCGTGAGGAAACTTCAACAACATTGGGGAAAGTGTTGCACAGCTGAATTAACGGCGGAGGTCTCGAAACGAGGCGTTGCAATTTACTCGTAATTTATTGCGTCGATCTGCGGCGAATCTTTTGTATTGCGTCATCGATCGATCGTAAATACTGGTCGTTTTTCGAGTGCACGCCGGCCTAATGCTCGGCATTTAATAAATTTTCGGGCCCGCCGTGCCGCGCGACGATTTATCATATTTACAATGGGAGAAGTTCGAACAAAAAACGAAAAGCAAGGCGTGCGCGGTGCACGAACGCGCGACGAGCGATGAGGCCGCTCGAAACGAGTTTTCGACCGCCAGATCGAAACCGAATAATTCCCCCCGATGGTGCAATGAATCGATTCGATTCGCGCGCGTAAAAGGTCTCTCGGCCGTAATTGAAATCGTAATTAACGGATCGTTTCTCTTCGTTTGGCAATTCGTACCAACTCGAAATCCGAATTTTCGTCGAATTTGGAAAGTTTGTTTGTTCGATAGTGCAATTCGCAGAAAGACTTGATTTATTCGAACTCGCCGGCGTTTGTTAATTTTCTTTTTTAATCTGTTCGACCGGTCTCTCTCAACTTTAACTTTTTCTCGGATATGAAGTGGAAATCTGTGGAATTGGAAAAGTCGAAATGTGGAAGTTTTGGAATTTCGTTCAAGACGCTCGTGAATGTGAAACGAGATTCAGAGGGACTTCATTTACTCGTCGGATTGGAAATTGCTGCTTTCCCTTCTTCGTGGAACTTGTTGATTAGATGAAAGGATCGCGTTATATAAACACGTAGTCGGGCACACCTCGGACCAGTTGCACTTCCCGAACTTTCAAGTTTATGAACTGGGCGCGCACGTCGAGAGAATATTGAAGCTCGTGTGTCGCGAACTCGCACGCCCACGAGGATCTATACGACCGTGGGAATCTATTACTTGCACACGCGGCTAGCATTCTCCAGCGTGGAAAGTCGTTTAAACTTTATAATTCGATAATACCGTTTGTCTTTCTCAATTCTTCTACAGCAATTTCGAGGAACTTGACGTTCAACGACAATCTGAAAAACACTGCAATCTAAAATTGGGTGAACAAAGGAGAAGTTGATTTCCAAAAAAAAAAAAAAAGATAGATCGAAGGGCACGAAAATTGCCAATTTTTTTCAAAAGCCGAGTAAACACGCGCGCCGATTCAAACATTCAAACTACCGACCGTTATTCTAATCGCGCGCGTTTAAGAGACCACAAAAACTCGACGCGTCACACCGTCATTCTCAAATGATCTCTCCCAAATGAAATGAAAACGATGAACGAGAATTACTTGCTGCTTCCAACTTGTTGTTTGTTTGTACGCTTGCTCGGCGATTCTTTCAGATTGCTATTAAATCGGCCGATCTGAAACTTCGTTCCAATAGGCAGAAATTCGGCCGGCGGTGAGACGCGTTCTCTGGATCGCGACCGGTACGCGGGATGTGTTTTCGTCTCGTAAGTCGAAATGAGGTAGAAAGCGAGACTGGTGGATGTATAAAGCGCAGTGTATCGCGCGGTGCCGACGACTGATGCTACTGCGACGAAAGCCGGCGGCCTCTCTCCCTCTCTCTGTTTCCACTTTTGCCCCTTCTTGTCCCGACTCTGCACGAGCTCACCACCGCCGCCTCCGTCGAGAGCGGACAGGTATCGTTCGCCGGCTTTGCACCTGTGCTCCAGCACTGTCTTCACTCTCTCGGTTTGCCTTTCTGCGAATTTCTCAGAAATCAGTCGCCGCCGTCGGTCAGCATTTTTTCCCCGTTTGCCAGTCGAAAGATAAAAGCGAATCTGCAGTTTAGAACGCTCGTTCTCGGCGGCCTGCAGTCTCTCCTCGGTATTTCAAAAGAGTCCAGTCGCATCGGATAGCCCGCGATAGGATTGCCGGAATAACTTTTTGATATCTCGACGACTGACGTGACAGTCTCGTAAAACCTCGAGGCTTCGAATAGGCTTCGAAGGATGAAAATTTTGCAGATGTCCTGCAATTGCTACGACTGTCACGAGGATTACAATACAGGAAACCTGAGTCGAAACTTTTTTCTGTGTGGTCCAAGAGAAAAGCAATCGTCGCCTGCCGAGTGTTATTCGCAATTGTTACAGCGAAGGCCTGGGATTGTTTAAGGACCCAAGTCTAGGACATGCGTGAATGTGTGAGAGACGATGCATGTCGTGAAGAAATGCAACGAGAGTGAACATCTAAAGAGGTCGAGAGTATTATAGCGAATATTATAGCGTATAACGAGAGTGTTAATATTTTTGTCATCGCCGTATCTATACCTTTTCCCCATAAATTCCAACAAAATTGGGGGCTCAGACGGGGGATTGAACCGAACGGGATTCCTACATAATTGTCATAAATATTCTCGCATTTCATTTCACCGTAGAGGATGAACGATAAATCTCTTCCGTTTCCACATCGGTGTGTGTCTCTCTCTCTCGTTCGAGATTCACGCGAGCGATTCCCAAAGTCACTTTCGTCCGTGCCAGTTTCCCCTCGGCGCATTTTTCCAAACGGCGTGACAGTCTTAAATCGCGCTCATCGTCGCGCGAGAAGAGAAGTCCGTCATCGAGCGGATTTCGCGGGTATAATTAATAGATTGCGAGGTGAACGCACGAGGCGGCCTGATTCCATTTTCCTTTCCCTCTTTGTTTTCAATCGCGCCGCCAGCGGCGGGAATTCGAAAAATATCCCGACACCGTATATTATATCTTTCGCGCAAAAATGAAGAGGACAGTTCGAAACAAAAGCGAGACAAAAGCGACGAGAAAAACGCGAATGAAAAGTATCGAACGTCGTTTGTAATTCGTGGCTCGCGGTCATCGACGAGTTTCGATTCGGAACGGGGACGATCGATTATGTTGACGTTGGCGATTTAGTAAGTTTCGTACGAGACGAAAGTAGGCTGTCTAATGTATTTAGCTTCGTAACGAAAGAAATCGAATCGCAAAAGAAAAAGTCTCTTAATTGGACTTTATAGAATAAGAAAAATAACCAAAAATGACCTTTTTGGGAAAAATCGGGAAAATAAAATTTCTCGGAGGTATGCAAAAATCCGGTTTTGTCCCAAATGCATCACTTTACTAAACGTTTTAGTATGAGATAGAACGGTGAAAAGAAAAGGATCGATGGATTCATGAACGTAAAAACAATCACAAAAATGGAATCGCAAAACATTAAAACTCTTCAAGCCGAAATTTTTAATTCCATCCGTAACACTACAATGTTGACTGTTTTTCGAAGCCTGTAAAATAAGGTGGAATATCGTTCGATTACATATCGAAGCTCTTTTTTCAAAAAAATAGTAGTTTTGGATTTACCCTTACTTTCCCCTATATTCGTAAATTTAACTTTCTAAAACTGGAGGTTAATTGGTTTCTGTTTAAGTATAGCCGCCGAGTTGATTGTTGCAATTGTCAAAGCATTTCATAGATTCAAAATCGAGGACGAAACTTATGAATTGAGGCGGCGGGTACGTGATTTTTGGAATATCGATGTTTATGGTAGCGGCAAATTGGCAGCGGGGAAGACAAGGAACACGGCAGGCAAGAGTGATCGATTGACTTTTTGTATGGTTAACAGCAGTCTATCGACGCGTGTTTCCTTTCGCGCGTGGCAAAGTACACACGTGTGTCGCCTCTATGCACGAGAATCCTAAAACGGCCCGGAAATCAAGCGCAGGTTGCTCGACGCTGAAACGAACCGGAAATTGCGTACAGAATGTTCGAGGAAGGAACGGTGGAATTTTTTCGACAGTTCGACGAGGGTAAGGAAACGGTTTCATCAGAGAACCATTTCGGAGTGTGTTTGTGGATGCATTAGCAGCAATTAAGAAGCAATCTTTCTTTACATGTATGTGTGTATGTGTGTGTTTGTGTGTCGCTGCACATTTGAAACGCAAAATACGAATAGACGAGGTACAAATGTTACGCAATCAAGTGGAGAGTTGCCACGCTGAGATATTTCCAATATACCGATGATCGAGTGTTTAAGTGCGAGGCAATTAATCACGGATTATTAACGATGATTATTAGCTCAAGTCGTTGCGGATTGTCGTTTATCAAGATTTCCCCGTCGCTTCCAAACTGAGAATATGCCTATAAATTTCCCCGACGACATTCCAGGAGCGTCCTGTATAAATTAAACGGAGAAAATTGTATTTCATTCTGCGGATGACCACGCCAGCGCGTATATCAGTCCACTTTTAACGTAGTAGCGATCATTTTTCGGTATAAATGTACGTTCGCGACTGTTAATGCCTCTCGTAAAGATACTCGATCGTTTTAAAGCGGCTGTTCACCTCGTTGCACTGAATCACCGGTGACGAAATCGCACGTGCAGCCGCGGTTCTCTCTCGATTAGGGTAGATCGACGCCGGTTTGGAAATAACTCGCGCGTCCTAGGTGCGAAAAGAAATCCTGGGATAATCGCGACACGAGTTGAACGCTAGAACATAACCGACATCAAGTTAATGATATTCAACTAAAAAGAATGGAATAATTTATTTGTACATTTTACGAGAAGTTACTTAAAATCACTAAAAATACTCTGTTCTACACCTATTAGAGACATTAAAGTAAAAGAAATGCAATAAATGGATTTATTGCTTTTTTTTTTTCATTTGTACATTTTACGAAAAGTTACTTGAATCTAAAATTACGAAGAAAAGAAATCATAAATTGGTCATTTTGACCATTTTGGTAATTCTGGTGTCGGACTCAGCATCCTGCTGAGAACCGAGTAAGTAATTGGTGCACGAGTCCAATTGCAATGCACTTAAAACGGTTCGATCGCGAACGGCAGTTGAATTTATTTACGACGATTATGCAACGCGATTGCGCAATCGTTATGTAAAAATTATCGTTACATTTTCTGGTTAATTTCATTTCAAGTTTAACGTCCGGCAAAAGCCAATACGCCGGTCTTCGACATAACGTACGTATTATTTCAGAGAAACGCTCCAATACGTTTCAACTTTACATCTTTTCATCGAGGGTTAATCGCGTGGTGAAAGCCTCGTAACTCGATCTTCTATCCCTAACATTTCTTAACGTTCGATTTCTAAACTCGAAGTTCTGTCAATCTATTATTAGGCTATGCTCGCTTCCAGTATCTTCGTCGCTTTTCTTTCAAAGTTCTTGTTAATTGCACGAAAGCCACGAAGAAAAGGAACGATAATGAGAATCCTGTTCAATCGAGTATTTAAACATACACGTTGATACTCGAACGATAAACTTGTGAACTATGAAGTTCGTCAAACTTGAACGATGAGGGTGAAGTAGAAGATACCGGGACGGAAGGTAGATCACATTTCGGAGGGAATTCTATTATAAAAGCAAATGAGCTCCGGATTAAGTACTCCGGCGTTAGTGGCGTTGCATTGTCCGCATCCATTTGCGTTTCTTGCGCGTTGCTCGCGGTCGGAATTCGGCGATATCGAGCTCAATTAGGCAGATGAGAAGCTTTTTGTCGGCTACCGGCGAGGAGACCCACTTTTTCGGGATTTCACTGATTGGACTTGGCTCGCGGTGATTGTATTACAATTGGATATTAAACATATTCGTTTGGTATAATGAGATTGAAATATCATCCAAGTGCACGAGGTCTAAAAATATTTCCTCGAGCAATATGATTTCGGTTGTCTCGAGTTAACACGTTCCGTGCCAAGCGATTTTTGCCTTTTGTTGTCGTTCAAGCC